GTGTCAGGGTTGCGTGAACCCACTCAGTGGGCAGCACAGTCTCTAAGGCCTCTACTAGTGCTTTTGTTTATTGTTTTGTTTTAACTTTGAATTTATTTTTTTGACTAGGTAATACATGCTCATGGTAAAAAATAAATAAATAAAAACAAAAAACAAAAGGAGACTATACAGTGAAAAAGTAAGTTTCCCTTCTTTCCCTGGCCCCCAGTTCCCTTCCCCAGGGGTGATCACTATTAATCACTATTACTAGTCTCATATATATTCTTACAGAAATTGTCTAAGTAAATGTTTTTATAGTTTCTTAGAATGCTGTACACATTTTCGTGTCCCATTTTGCACTTAACTACGTTAGAGGTCATCTTATATCCATTTATTTACAATTGGCTCATTATTTTAAAAGGTTTCATAATCATTATATGAATATGTACTATATTTTGTGCATTGTCAGCACTATTCAGTGAGTATATTCTTGGACATATGTGATTATGTATTTCTGGAATAAATTCATGGAAATAGAATTTATAGGACAGGGTGTGTACATTTAAAATTTCAAGAAGTTATCCAAATTGCCCTCCATAAAATCTCCATTGCCATAAGCATTATGTGAGTACGCCCATTTCTTTTTCATACAGATACTTACATTGTCCATTTTTACAATTACTCTGTTCTCAAAGTCCTTTTTTACTCTCAGATCTGAAATGAACTTCCTCTGCAGTTGTGGGAAGGAGTTGTTAGGGCCTGATTCTTTTTTTTAAGTTTTTCCTGTTAAATTAAAAAAATATATATATATATGTATATATATGTATAATGTTCTTGCTGACCACAGGCTGTTCTGTTGCCCTTGTTAGAAAATCTTGAGCACATTTAAAGAACATCAAATTTGTTTACTCTAGTCCTGAATTTCTTGAGAAAAGAAATGAGTGAATTTTTGGTGTAGCAGTTGGCGTGTACCTTGTGATTGAATTCTTAAGGGTGTTCAAACGGTAGTATTATTAATGAGTAAGATGTCCTCCATCTCTTTTCTGTGCTCTGGAAGGGTTTTTATAACATGGTGAACTCATTGCTCATGGAACTTTTATGGAAGTTGCTCCTTAAATTATTTCATCTTTTTAAATTTCTTCCCTAGATTTTCCTCTGCTTTCTGAGTCAGGTTTGCCTGCCTGTATTTTCTTGGAAAAATTATTGATTCTCTGTCAAACCTTTTCATCCTACAGTTACTGTATGTAGTTTTCACCTGCTGGTGGTTTGTGCTTCAAATAGATGTGTACTGGGAGGAAAAATTACCATAGTAAACAAGTACATATATGAAGTCAAAGTTGTCCTTAATAGCTCTCAATTTTATCATCTAGTTAGAAGAGCCCTTTCCTGCTCCATAATTCTAAAAAGTAATCTTTTATTTATTTTATTTTGATTTTAGTTTTAGCATTTTCATGTATGCTATGACCTTCTCCCCCCAAGTGAAAGATTGGCTAGTTTTCCACCACTGTTTACTGAAGTAATGTGTGCCTTCCTGACTAGTTTGTAAATGCCACGTTTCACGCCACTGCCGGATACTTGACTACGTGTGGTCAACTTAGACCACAATTCCTAAGAGAATCCACTTTCTTATCATAAGTTACAAGTGGGTCTTTTTGTTGTTTTATTTCTTAGGTTTTGATGGTGTAAACAACCATCATTGTTATTTTTATGTAGTCTTTCTCCTTCAGGCATATTATAAAAGAACTTTCTTACCATGAGATTACGTGAAAATATTTCTTAAATTTTTTGTATGGATTGTTGGTCTTTTGATATGTGAATTTTCAAAATATTGACCAAATGGAACTCTTCCAGGTCAACTTTGGAACCATCGCCAAGTTCCCCAACATTAATATTCTTTGAAGTTCCATTAAATTATATAGATTAACTTGGGGGAGGTTTTAGAGCTTTAATATGCCAGATCCATACATCTCCCATGATTATCCTATGTCTCTCCATTTACTGCCTTTTATTATTATAATTTGTAATCTTATCCATGTGGATGGTATTGTCTTTCATTAAATCTTTTCTGTCTTTATAATGGCAGTTCTCTTCCCACTATTTAAAATTTTTAATTGCTGATACATATTTAGGGAGCCTGTTGTAAGTGATTTTCTTATTAAATTATTGTCAGGTCTGCTTCCATTGATTCACAAAATCTGAGTGAATGCTCTTACATAAAAGAGAATGATAGTTTTAGATCTTTCTTTATGCCTCACATTTTTCTTGCCTCGTAATTGGCTGGAACTCTGAAGAATAGTGTTCAACAGTGATAGTGCCAGAGATTTTTGTCTGCTTTTATAACTGAATTTGATCTGTGGTTTGTTAATGCTAGTTTTGTAGTGGCTTTTTAAATTATTCTGATTTCATAAAGACAATGGGAAGGCTTTCTATTTCTCTTTGTTGGTTTATGACCTGGGAATTGGCCTTTTCTTGAAGGCGGTATATAAGTCCTCACCTCTAATGCTGTCTGAATTCACAGCCATTTGGAGAATTAATTCTCTAACACTCTTTTTACATTTCTTCCATGTTTATTTGTCCATATATTTTTGTCTTTGAAATGTCTGCAGGTCCCTGGCATTTTGACTCTGTTCCCGTGGAGAGCTGCTTGTTCTGAAGTTCTGGAAAGGATCCTCTTCCCAAACAGGTGATTTACATACCTGAAGGTATCCTGTCACCTCTGAGAAGTTGCACTAGCGTCTTCTAGGGGACTGGAGTTTCCTCTGGGATATGAATGCCAAAGAGTAATCTTGGGCTTCCTGCCCTTTCATCTTTGCCATTCGGGCCTGCTGGGTTTGAGAGCTCTGCCTTGTCAGGGGCAGTCTCTCTGTCCCTCTTAGCCAAGCATCACTCTAGTCCTCAGAGACTGGATACTTGTCCTTTTCCTTCCCTGGCTTTGGAAGTCTTCTGCCTGGCAGGGTGCCATCTCATGCCCTCTCCTCTGTTGTCACCCGTCCTCAAGGAGGGCAGGGCAGACAGGGAGGCAGTGCTTGATTGCTGAGGATCTTCCTGATGGACGTGTGTGTGCGTGCGCGCGCCGAGTGCGTGTGTGTGTGCTGATGCTTCAGAGGACAGCAGTGGGAGAGAGCATGTGTGGGGGTGGTGTTTGTGCGTGAGCAGAACCGAAGCCCATCACTGCAGGGGGGAAAAGGGCATGGCAGAGTTTGCTACATTTATTCCCCAATGATAAATGAAACACCTTGTTTTCTCTTTAAACATTAAAGAAAGAACTTTAATTTTAAACTTACTGGTTTTCCATTTAAAACAAAAGCATAGAATTTTTGCTGCGTATTGTTTTGTTCTTCCTTGGAAGTAAAGCCAGAAGGACAAAACTGTCAGGTGAATTAATTCACCCACCCAAACCTAAATTTCTTTCCCATATTGCCTACCTTCTTGTACCATTTGTGGCTGTCCACAGAGGGAGATGGTTTAGGTAACGGGAAATGTATAGCCTTAATTGGTTATGTTAGAAAAAAGATGAAAATCAGCTTTTAAACTCAGTCTAAGAGGTTTTTCTAAAAAGAAGGGGCAGATAATAAAAAGACAACTAGCTAAATAAATGCAGCAATACAGAGGATTATCAAAGCTGGTTCTTTCCTAGAGGGGTTGGTAGAAAAGTGGGCAGGTGAGGGTGGGTGACACACCAGAATGTTCTTTGGAAGCAAGGGCATAGATGTTAATCCAGGATGTTCTCTCTCCCCAGAAACTTCGCTGTGCTTCTTCAGCCATGTAATAATGCGTGCCTACATCTAAAACTTATTTTATTTATTTATTTATTTGTTTACTTATTTATTTATTCATTTATTTTTAAAGTTTATTTATTTATTTTTGAGAAAGAGACAGCATGAGCAGGGGAGGGGCAGAGAGAGAGAGGGAGAGAGAGAAAAAATTCCAAGTAGGCTCCACGCTGTCAGCACAGAGCACCATGCGGGGCTCAAACTCACAAAACTGTGAGATCATGACCTGAGCCGACACTAAGAGCTGGATGCTTAACCAACTGAGCCATCCAGATGCCCCTAAAACCAGTTTTTAAATGGGTTTATGTCTGTTAATTTCAATCTGTTCTACCATTGTTGGTACCTGACTTTGTGCCAGGCAGACACTAGAGGATACAAGTCTGGAAAAGTGAGTCTCTAATCCCTCGAGTAGAGTTTATAGTTTAGGCTGCAGAGAGGGGCAAGTTAACTGCAGCATTTAAAAATACATGTGAGGAGTGCTTGCAACACCTGAGAGATGGATAGTGCAGCTCAGGAGACCTATCGGAGGAGGTGGTGTTAGCAGAGCCCGAGGCTGGGGTTCAGGACAGGCACTCGTCAGAAGGGTGTGCGGTGCCGAGGGAAGGGGTCCTGAGCAGACCTGCAGACTGCCACTCTGGCCAGTAGAACTTTCCACAGTGATAGAGATGTTCAGAGGTCACCAGAAATGGTAGGTTTGGCCCTCATTCTCTGTATCCCCTTTTCCATTTTTGCTGAGAACAAAAATCAACCTCCACTTTTAGTAATGCCTGGCACCTTGAGCATTGTGGGCATTGGGTTGGTAGGCCTTTTAGGTATATTAGCTTATTTAATCTCACAGTTTTAAAAAGGGTTGAGGGCTGTTGTTCCCTGGTGTAGATAAGGGGACAGACTCCAGGATGTTGAGTAGTTGCCCACAGTCATGACACCCATTAGTAGCAGAGGTGACTCTCAAACAGGTTTGATGGTGCCCAGAGGTCATGCTTGTTACCCCTGTGGGAGGCTATGTTCGTGTGCTGCGCATGCATCTGTGTATTGCGAGTGTGCACATCTCTGCCCCCGTGGTTTGTTCACAAAGTGTTGTTGATGCCCTTGTAGGGCAGCCCCACACTGCTGCCTGATCCTCAACTTCTGGGACATGTGTGTATCTCCTTGCGATCTACAGGTCCCTGAGTACTGACTGTCACAGCCTGCCGCGTCTTTCCTGTTGACTCATGTTTGGTTCCTCCAGTGAAAATCTCACTTAGAAAAATGCTGCCTCCAAAGTACTTGTCTGCCACCAAACCCAAGAAGTCTTGGGCCCCAGATGTGCATGAGATAGACAGTGACTTGACTAAGGAGCCGGATGCCACCATAAGAGAAGGTGCAACTGACCCTGAATTCTTTCATCAGAGGTTTCGGAATTTCCTCTACGTGGAATTTGTTGGGCCTCGGAAGACACTGTTCAAACTCCGAAACCTCTGCCTCGATTGGCTGCAGCCAGAGACTCGCACCAAGGAGGAGATTATCGAGCTCTTGGTCCTTGAGCAGTACCTGACCATCCTTCCAGAAAAGATCAAGCCTTGGGTGCGGGCAAAAAAGCCCGAGAACTGTGAGAAGCTAGTTACTCTGCTGGAAAATTACAAGGAGATGTATGAACCAGGAGGTGAGGCACGGTGGAGGCTGTTGGGGAGCCATGATCTCCCTGGGGTTCACAGCCGCAGCACCATTGGTAGTCGAGGCCAGGTCACTCTCTTCGTGGGGTGCCAGCCTGTCATAGGATGTGCAGTGACACACCCCTAGCCCCTCTCTACTACCCACAGGATGCCGGTTGCACCCCTCCCCAGCTGTGACAGCCAGACGTGATGTTACCACCTGTCCCCGGGGAGTAGAGCGCCCCAGTTAAGAACTGCCGCCTTAAGGTGGTGTGGGTAGGAAAGGCACACCTCAGTGAGGGCCTCTGTGAGGAACTGACAAGCCTCTGTGCACCTCACAACCCTGGCCTGGGCTCCTTTTCATGACACAAAGGGTGTGTTACCCCAGAGAGCTGTGTGTGGCTGCTGTGTGGAGAGGAGGTGAGGGCGGTCGCAGCCACGTAGCCTGCCCAGGCGTGGTAGGAAGCTGAGGAATGTGGGGATCAGATCCCTCCAGCTTCCCGGGGAGGCAGGGGGTTGCACGGTTGGGGCAAGGGCAGACTCCACTCGGGGGAGCTATTTTGAGAACACAGGCGAGAGGTGATAGAGCATTAAGTCAGTGTCTGGTCCTCTCAGATGACCACAACAGTGACCTCCGCAGCGAAGACAGCATGAGCCGGAAGGGAGCAGAGTCCCCACCGCCACGTTCTGCGTCATCATTCTGCAGTGAGTAACTGTGTCAGGTTACGCCATTGGGGCAGACTTGGGCCCAGCTTCCCCGGCTACCAGCTCCGCCCAGTGCCCAGAAGTGTACGGTGGGCCTGGCACCATCAGTGGAGACAGCGGTGCAGATCTGAGGGGAAGGACAGTTGATGATGGAATGAGACATTTTTATATCCAAGCAGACACCAGTGTCTGGTGTGAAATATAATTTTTTTTTTTTAAATAATGAGAAAGTATTTGAAGCTGTTTGAAATTGGCCCAGGAGGGGCAGAGTTCATCACTACTTTGCCTCTAAAACCTGTTTTAAGGTCCTTCAAGAACTTTTAAAAAGGAAGCTTGCTTTTGGGAGGGCACGTGTTTTGTCTCTTTGGAGCAGGGTCATGTGCACATTGAGACTGGCGGGCGGGTCTGAAGTCATGGTCCAGAGTGTGGGGCTGATGGTGTGGCAGCCAGCAAACAACAGAAGTGTCTGCAGGGGACCGGCCTCTAAACCACGCTGTGGCGCTTGCTTTGCCGTCCGTGGCACTTGGGCAAAGCCTCCAGAAGTGGTGTTCTGGGTCCAGGGTAATCAAAAGAGCCCAGGTCATGCATGGGAGTCTGGAGACCTCAGTGTGGGATCCATCTCCTCAAGGGAGGAGGGGGATTAGGGCCCCCATCCTGCGTGGCCCAGAACCGTGTTAACTCCTCCATGTCTGGCTTTCTCAGGTGACCGGGACCGGGACTGGGACCAGGAGTGGGACCGGGAGCGAGACCGGGACTGGGATCTGGACTGGGACCGGGACCGGGAGCGGAGAGGCAGGAGCAGAGACCTGGGGTCTCGGGACCGCTGGCCATACCCCAGGAACCCCAGAGGCAGTATGTCCCATGCTCGGACTTCCCTGGTGGGCGTGCAGGGCCACACCACACCCTGTCCCTCTGTGACGCCTTGTCTCTTCCCAGGACTTCCTCAACGGGACCTTTCCCTTCCTCTGATGGAGAAAACAACTTTTGCGACAGAAAGGGAACGCAAACGTAGGGATTCTGTGATGGATTATGAGTCAAGATCCCAGGTATGCTTAGGTCTCCTCTCTTTCTGGAAAGGCCATCTTCATTTCATGGCAGAGAGGCCTTTCTTTCCCAGGAGGGTATGCTCATCCACCCTTAGAATCCCACCTGGGTGAGCAGAGGGGCACTTCTGCCCTGCATGGAGCCCAGGCCTGTCCGCAGAGGTGGCAAGTGGCTGGGGTGACTCCTGCCTACTTTCTGATTGACCCACATTGTCAGAGGAGCACTTTGCCATCCCACAACTGTGGCATGTGGTACGTCGGTCATGTCAGTGGTTCCCTATGGAGCCAGGGAAGCAGAACCGTTGCAGGGGTCTTTCTGGCCCACTGCAGGGAACCAGGGAGGCTGTACATCCACACAGCACACAGGCAAGAGAGAGCGAAGGCTCTGGAGCCAGCGAGGGCTGGGTGTGAGGCCCAGCTCTGCCACCTGCTAGGTGTGCAGCCTTGGACCATTTGCTTGACTAAGCTGAGCCTCAGTTTCCTCATTTGAAGAATGGATGCAGTGATTGGGTCAGCGGGCTGCTGTGAGGAGTGAGTGTGATTCATGTGTATCCAAGAAGGGCTTAATGTGATGCCTGGCATGCGGTCGGCACCGCCTGCGTGTCGGCAGTTCTGGCAGTAGTTTTAGGAGGCGGTATGCTGGGGAGATTAGTGGAGGGGGAAAAGGCCTTGGGAACTGGGCTGACCTGTATGGAGTAGGGTCACTCGTGACCCAGCATTCTGAAGGGGAGCCGCAGCGTGGAAAGGGCTTTGAGAGGAAGGGGAGCCGAGTGCGAGGAACCTGCATCTCCTTTTAGCACTAAGGACCTCGCCCAGGTCAGGGAGTGACATGGTGTCTGAGGTCGTCTGGGTCCCCACATGCCCTGGAAACTTCAAGCCTTAACGACAGAGTGGAATTCAGCAGTCCCACAAATAAGCCTTCGTGGGATACCGTGTGATGCTCGTCCCGCAGAGCTCTGGGAAGGAAAAATTGAGCGCTGGGAAGCAGTTGTCCCAGTGGTTTGGATTTGGATTTGGATTTGAAAGGAAGCATCTTGAAGGCAGTAACCCTTGACTTCTGAAGGCCAGGTGAAGGTAGGGTCAGGAGGTCTCCGGCGAAGGCCCGGGGACAGGAACCAGACAGAAAGGCCAGGCAGGCGGGAACCCCGAGGGCAAAATTGCTGAGTCAGCCACAAGGTGGGGTTGGGCCTGGCTGCAAGGGTCTTGTGCCCTGCAGCCGAGCAGAGAGCTCAGGTCAGTCCCCAGTGCACTCCTGCAGTGGCACTCAGAAGTTGGCATCAGCCGATGGAAGGCTTCGGATCCCACACTGAAATCTCTGTCACCGGTCCCCTGTCTGGGAGATAAGGAATGCAGGTGTGTATGAGAGGGAGGAATCGGCAGTGTCCAGATGTTGGAAGCAGAGCACCCCAAAGCAGCAGTTACAGGGGAAGGGATGCGGAGGAAGGTGGGTAGGGTCGGAGGTGACTGTCCCTCCAGCCCAGATGTCCTTGTCCCTTGTGCCAGGGAAACTAAGTTTGTGACACACTTAGTTTGCTACTAATTTTGTTATCTTATTTGAAGAAACCAAATTGGCCAAAATTTTAGGAATCTAGACAAAAATACTAAACAGACTCACTCTTAAGCTTGGTTTTTGAAAACAAAAAGGCTCTGTGATACGCCCTTACCTCCGAGAATGTGGTGCGGTGTGCATGCACGGCTTGCAAGCCCTGCTCCGTTCCCACTTGTCTGTAGAGGATGAGCGATACGAGCCGTTGTTTAGGGGGTGTTGAAACAGTCATGAAATAAAGATGAGAGGAGGTTGCTAATTGGCTTTTGTCTTACTTTGCTCTTTAAATGCCTTTCCTCGACCCCGGTGAGGGTTGGCTCCTGGTCAGTGTAGGCCGAGAGTCTAGCCGCGGCGGGTCACTCCTAACCCGGCATGCCAGGCTGGCGGCAGGCAGACGAATGGTATCGTGAGGCACCCAGAGCAGGAAGTCCTCATCCTTTTTTAGCGCCGCATGTAACTCTCTGAGCTGCCTGCTCTCCGGGTGTCACCCATTCGAGTGGAACTCGGTGGGCGCTCCTGCAGGTTGAGGTGCCGTTTTGGCTGCAGATACTAAGTGACGAGCCACTATAGGGACGCCCACTTATGGAGATTAACTTTACCTTAAATAAAGCATTGTTTTTCTTTCATAGAACAGCGTAGTTCAAAATTCAGTGTGCTCTTATTTTACTCAGGCAGACAGAAAGAAGAGTGTGAAAAATAACCCTTCCCTTTTGCCTTTGCCCATGGGGTCTCTCAGCACTGGGGACGGTGACCTTTCTGACTCCCTGAGCCTCCCAAGTTCTTGACCTCCTCTGCTCTCTCTGCTAACGCCCCAGGGCAGGAGCCCTGGTTTCCTTCCTCTCAGTACGGATGTCCTGTGTCCCTGCTGGCGTAGCAGAATACGCCAGTGCTGGGACTCAGGACATACTGTCGCAAACCTGAGCCTAGTGGAGCTTTGGCTCTTGAGCTTGCCACCGGACAGGGGCTGGGCAACCAGCAAAAATGATGCCAGTTTGCTCTACAGGGTGCCTGTCCCGAGTTTTAGAGCCTCCTGAGCTTCTGTAGCTTGTGCGTCATTCTAGGCCTTCTCAGCCCAGACCCAGAAAGAATTCTAGTTTTGAAACTCTGCTCAGTTTTGGCTGTGGCTTTTGCTTTTCATCACTAGATGTTGGGAGTTGCATCAATGAGGCCTTCCTCTAAATCCCAGTGTATGTGCTGGTTTATCTTGTCGTGCGTGCCCTCTTGTTTCCGCATTTCACACGGCTGTGTCCGTGCCACTTCCCAGCAAGGAGCTGTAATAAATTCAATATCAAAATGTCTTTACATAGTAGTTTAGTAATTTACATTTTTTTTTTTATGTAATTCTTCTTGATGTTTGAACAACACGTCCCATTGCAGAAAACCCTCACCTGTAATATCGCAAGGCGGGTTGATGCTGACTCTCCCATTTTACAGATGAAGAACCTGAGGCTTAGAAAGATTTCTGTTCCCAAGGTTGCATGGCTCAGAAATGGTACAGTCCTCCTTTGGTCCTTGAGTTTTCTCTGGTTCCAAAACCTGTGGGCTTCCCACGGTGCTATGTCCATCCTTACATCCATCTCCAGGCCTCAGTGCCATCCGTGGTCCCTGGGACAACACTTCCCTGAGACTGCTGATGTCCTAGGGCATCAGTAAGAAAAGGTACTGTGAGGTCCTGCATAGGAGACTCTTCCAAGTAATTCAGGGACTTGTAAAATGACTTTTAGAGACGTGTTCAGCAGGTGGGAAAGTCAGCTATAATATGAAGGCATTCAGTGCTTCAGGTTCCATCGGGGTTATTTGGGACATCTCCACACCTGGAACAGCACAGCATGTACCCATGTTGTGCAGTGAAGGTGAACACAGGACACAGTGGGACCGCGGAGGGAGGCTTAAGTCCCACCTCCTGACCAGACGCCTGCTGAAACACATTTTCCGTCCCTGCACATGCCACGCGTAGTCCATGTTTGGCCTGTTGAAGCTCTCACACCACCGCCCCCTTTCTCTGTGTCAGAGTCTTCCCACTTAAGGCCCCACTGAAGTTCCTCTACCAAACCCATTTAGCACTGATTATCTGTACCCCACTTTATTGTTTATTGTTCTCTAATTGTTTCATGAGTCTTTTCTCTCCAACCAAATTATAAGCTGCATGAGGGCAAGGAATGTGTGTCATACGTCTTTTGGATCTTCCTCACAGTCTAGCACCAAGGTAGGTACGCAGTAGGTCCGTAGTAAAACTCGCCCTGGATCACTCAGAACCCCAGACACTGTGCGCACTTTCTACATATCTGTGTGTGTAGCGCCCGTATTGCCAGCATTCTTCTCTCTTGGGCACCCATGGAAGGACTCCATCGAGAGGTCTGTGTTTGGTATTTTAGGATGCCGTGTCATACCAGGACGTTGTGAACCTGACCGAGGACAGGAAGCCTCAGAACCCGATTCAGGACAACATGGAAAACTACAGGAAGCTGCTCTCTCTGGGTAAGCAGAGAGACCCAGTTACTGGAGCTTTTTGTCACCTGACTCTTAAAGCTGTAGGACATTAGACTCCATGTTAATATGTTTGGATTTTAAGGGTGATAAGAAGCCTTTGGAATATTTTAAGCAGAGAAATAAATGATGAGATGTGTTTTTGAGAAATCATTCTGGCTTTGGGTATATTGAGTGTATTGTACAAGGTCGTGGAGAATGGGGAGATGGCTCTTGCCACGAGTTGGTACTTTTTCTAGAGAGGTGGCAGTGAGGATTTTTAAATACCTACTTAGAATGGGATCCTGAGTTCCAGTTTGGACTTCCCTTGAAGTTGGCTAGCATAGTGGGCAGTTGGCTGGCACTGAGGAGAGAGAGCTTTACAAGGCAATGGAGCCTCAAGGAGCTCTGGTGTTAGGGGAACAGCTGAGGAAGAGTCAAGAAAGAGGAAGAGAATCATGGAAGCCAGTGAAAAAGAGGGTGTCAGGATTTAAGTGTTCATTACAGGAAGGTGAAGACTGAAAAAGGTGCACTGAATTTCAGGACATGTAGTGGTCTCTGTTCAGATTTCTAGGTGGAATCAGGAGAATTAGTTAAAATTCAGGTAATAAGTCATACAGAGAAAGACAGATACCATATGTTTTGACTCTTACGTGGATCCTGAGAAACTTAATAGAAGACCATGGTGGAGGGGAAGGAAGAAAAAAAGTTAGAGAGGGAGGGAGCCAAACCATAAGAGACTCTTAAAAACTGAGAATAAACTGAGGGTTGATGGGGGGTGGGAGGGAGGGGAAAATGGGTGATGGGCATTGAGGAGGGCACCTGTTGGGATGAGCACTGGGTATTGTATGGAAACCAATTTGACAACAAACTTCATATTAAAAAATAAAATTCAGGCTAGAATGGGCTGAGGAGTGGACAGTAAGGACATGGGACTGCACATAGAAGACACTCCAGGAGTTGGGCGTGGGCCACCTCCTGTTTAGTGGTTCCTAGGAAGGTAGGCACCATCTTACGGTGATGAGTCTTGTGCCCAGCTGGAGCGTAAGCTGTCATATCATTCTTGTGAACAGGGGTTCAGCTTGCGGAAGATGACGGCCACTCCCACATGACACAGGGCCATTCATCGAGGTCAAAGAGAAGTGCCTACCCAAGCACCAGTCGAGGTAAGCACGAGGCAGGTTGTACCTAGTGGCCATTTGAGTTAATGAGATGGGAGCCGTACATACGTATTGGTAGACCTGTTACATTTTATATTCACACCATCATCCCAGAAGTCTCAATGTTACAGGTATAGGAATTAGGGAGTATTTACACTTGGGGTTTCTTTTCAGGTCTAAAATCTATGCCTGAAACCAAAAAGTCAACCCATCGGCGGGGAATTTGTGAAGATGAATCTTCCCACGGGGTGATCATGGAAAAATTCATCAAGGACGTTTCACGCAACTCTAAATCAGGACGGGCAAGGGAATCTAACGATCGGTCCCAGAGGTTCCCCAGAAGGCCAGACAATGATTGGAAGGAAGTTTCGTTCAACAAGAGGGAGTCGGTGATTCAGGAGAGGGGCTATGAAGGGAATGGCTTTGGGGGAGGCTTTAATTTTAACTCGAGTCTTGTTTCCAAAAAGAGAGTTCTTGAAAGAAAAAGGCGCTATCAGTTTGACACAGATGGGAAGGGTTCAGCTCACGAGCAGAAGGGCTATGCAAGGAAGAGACCTTTTGAATGTAGTGAAATGAGAAAAGCCATGAGCATGAGCAGCCTTAGCGCCCCCTCCTTCACTGAGTCGCAGCCACTTGATTTTGGGGCAATGCCCTATGTGTGTGATGAATGTGGGAGGTCTTTCAGTGTGATTTCCGAATTTGTCGAACATCAGATCATGCATACTAGAGAGAATCTCTATGAGTATGGTGAATCGTTTATTCATAGTGTGGCTGTCAGTGAGGTTCAGAAAAGTCAGGCTGGAGGGAAACGCTTTGAATGTAAGGAGTGTGGGGAAACCTTTAATAAGAGTGCCGCGCTTGCCGAACATCGGAAAATTCATGCTAGAGAGCATCTTGCAGAATGTAATGATGAGGAGTATGAGGAGCCATTCATGCCTAGCCCAACCTTCAGTGAGCTCCAGAAAATATATGGGAAAGATAAATTCTATGAATGTAAGGTGTGTAAGGAAACCTTCCTTCATAGCTCTGCCCTAATTGACCACCAAAAAATCCATGGTAGAGATGACAAAGATAATGAGCGTGGGGAAGGCTTTAAACCCAGCCCACCCCCCAGTGATCTTCCGAAAACGTATGGTAAAGAGAAAATGTATGAATGTAAGGTGTGTGGGGAGACCTTCCATCACAGCTCATCCCTGAAAGAACATCAGAAGATCCATACTAGAGGAAACCTCTTTGAAAGTAAGGGTAAAGTGTGTGAGGAAACATTTATTCCTGGTCAGTCCCTTAAAAGGCGTCAGAAGACGTACCCAAAAGAGAAGCTGTATGACTTTACAGATGGTGGGGATGCCTTTAGGCAAAGCTCAGACCTCAGTGAGCATCAGAAAATTCATTCTCGAAAGAACCTCTTTGAAGGCAGGGGGTACGAGAAGTCTGTCATTCATAGCGTGCCCTTCACCGAATCCCAGAAGAGTCATACTATAACAAGACCACCTGAAGATGATGAGGACCAGAAGGCGTTCACCGTCAGCTCTAACCCTGATGACAACCAGAAGGTTCCTCCTCAAGAAAACGTCTATGAGAGGAAACCATATGAGAGGTCTGTTATTCATAGCTTAGCCTTTGCTAAGGCTGAGAAGAGTCACAGTGCAGTGGGGCCCAGCAAACCAAAAGTGATTGCAGAGTCTACCATTCAAAGCTCAGGTGTTACCGAACACCAGAAAGCCCATGCTGGAGAGAATACCTCTGAAGGAAAGAAATACGAGAGGTCTGTTATCCATAGTGTAGCTGCTTTCAAACCTCCCAAAAGTTGCGATGGAAATGAAGTCGTTGAATGTGAAGAGAAGGGAGAATCCTCCACTTCTGTTTCAGACCGTCATGATAAGCAACAGAAAACTCCTGCCAGAGAGAACCCTAATGAAGGGGGTAAGAATAACAACTACAAGGACTCTGTCATACAAAGTGTATCCCATATGGAATCTCAGAAAAGTCCAACTAGTCAGGGATCCAGTGAACTTAAGAAGGATGGCGAATCATCTACTCCCACCTCAAATGTCCGTGAACATCAGAAGGCTCGTTCGAAGAAGAAAAACATTGAGCGTAGGAACTATGAGACCTCTGTAATTCACTCCCTACGTTTTGGTGACCATCAAACATTTCGCCCTAGAGAGAAATTCTATGAATGTCCAGAGTGTGGAGAATCTTTTGTTCGTAGCTACGACCTCACTGAGCATCTGAAGATTCACGATAGAAAGAAGCCCTCTGGAAGTAAAAACTACGAACGTTCTGTAATTCGCAGCTTAGTCTCTACTGATCCTCAGACGAGTTACGCTGAGCAGCAACCACAGACAAGTTATGCTGGACACTCATCACAGATGAGGTACTCTGACCAAGCAGCGCAAACGAGTTATGCCAAACACCCAGTGCAGACGAGTTACTCTGGAATGCACATGAGTTACGCTGTACAGCCAGGGCACATGAGTTACACACAGCAAGCAGCACAAACGAGCTACATGGTGCAACCGACACAAATCAGTTATGACGAGGAGCAAGCGCAGACAAGTTACGCTGAACAGCAAGTACGCAACAGATGCAGGGAGTGTGGGGAATGCTTTGCCACCATCGGAGACCTTGGTGCACATCAGAAAATCTATGCCCGAGAAGAATTCCATGGTCGGAAGCTCTTTGGAGACACTGTTATTCAGGGCATAGGCCTCGAAGGGCCTCGGCCGGAAGAGCCTCGGCAGAATGAGCCAGATGAGCAGGACGAGCAGGACGAGCCTGAAGATGCAATCTATGGCTGTAAGGACTGTGGGCTAGGCTTTGCGGATCGCGCAGACCTTAAGGATCATCAGAAAGTTCATGGCAGAGAGTATCTCATCGATAGTCGTGAGTACACCCATTCTGTAATCCACACCCATTCTGTCAGCGAGTATCAGAAAGATTACATTGGAGAGCAGCTCTATGAATGCCCGGCATGTGGGGAATCCTTCGTTCATAGCTCATTCCTTTTTGAGCATCAGAAAATCCACGAGCAAGATCAATTTTATGGCCAAAGAAGGTATGATGAGCCTTTTGTGCAGCCCCTGGTCATCAACCCACGGAGGCCTCGTGCCCCACAGAAGAATCCCACTGCAGGAACATCCCTTCAGTGCCACGTGTGCGGACAAGACTTCATTCATGGCTCTGTCCTCGGTGAGCATATGAGAATTCACACCAGAGAGGATTTACCGGAACAGGGCCAGAGAAGTGAAGATGCAGTGAGTCCAGGCTTAGCCCTTACTGAGTTTCAGAGAAGTCAAACCGAAGAGAAACACTATGAATGTAAAACATGTGGAGAAACCTTCCTCAATCAGTCAGACCTTAGGGAGCACATGAGAATTCACGAGAAAGACGAGCCCTATGATTATGGGGCCTCTTTTGTTCATACTTCATTTCTTACTGAGCCCCCCAAAAGAGATTCACCATTCTATGAATGCAAGGACTGTGGGAAGTCCTTTATTCATAACACCGTTCTCACCAAGCATCAGAAGCTTCATCTTGAAGAAGAGGAAGAAGAAGGAGCCCAGGAGGTGGAAGCCAATGTCCTTGTTCCACGAGAAGTGCTGCGGATCCAGGGGTCAAACGTAGAGGCTGCCGAGCCCGAGGTGGAGGCTGCCGAGCCTGAGGTGGAGGCTGCCGAGCCCAATGTGGAGGCCGCCGAGCCCAATGGAGAGGCCGAGGGACCAGATGGGGAGGCTGCAGAGCCAGATGGGGAAGCCGAACAGCCCAACGGAGAGGCCGAACAGCCCAATGGAGATGCTGATGAACCAGACGGGGCAGGGATCGAAGACCCAGAGGAAAGAGCTGAAGAGCCAGAGGGAGATGCTGATGAGCCAGATGGGGCAGGGATCGAAGACCCAGAAGAAGAAGGCGAAGATCAAGAGATTCAGGTTGAGGAGCCATACTACGACTGCAGGGAATGCGGAGAAACCTTTGCTTCCAACTCTGCCTATGGCGAGCACCTGAAAACCCATGCCAGGGTGATAATATTTGAGCCTGGAAATGTCTATGGGGAAAGCTCCCGCTACACTGAACATGCCAGCACCAGCACCAGCGACAACGACAGGGCCGATGACAAGTATTTCAAGTGTGATGTCTGTGGGCAGCTTTTCAGTGATCGCCTGTCCCTCGCTAGACACCAGAATACTCATACCGGCTGAGAACATAAGTATAAAGGTTAGGAAACCTTCACTTAGAACTTGACCCTTACTAAACCAGAGACTTCAGACCAATCCATAACAATGTCAGAAGAAACTTACCTTGGCACGTACACACCTGACTTTTAACATCAGACAACTCAGACTAAAAAGAAACCAAAGGTGGAAACTGCTTTGGTCTCAGCTCTCCCCCATCTAGCTCTCCCCCATCCAGCTGTCTCCCATCCAGCACCAGTGTGTGCATATGGGAAAGCTCTAGCACATACCTTGCATCTGAGTGACCTTATTGAGGGAAAACCCCAGGGGTTTTTGAGACTACAGAAATCGCCCCAGTCAACTGTAAATGACATTTCTGTAACCTATATATAATGCTCCCTGCAGTGTATATAAAATAGCATATCGTAGCAAAACAGTAATCACATATCTTTGGATTTGATATGATATACAGTTACAGTTTACTGTGCAGAGGTACCTTACCTGGTACTCGGATTTTTTTTTTTTTTTTTTTTTGGAGGAGGAAGAGAGCAACAAATTAGAATATATTTCTAAGCATCTTAGATTCTGAGAAAGACTTCTTGTGCATTATTTGGACCCCATTGGTATCGTTTCGAGTAATTGTGTGTCATTCCTTACTCTTAAGTATTCCTGTACAAGTGTAAGCATGAAAGGTAAAATGTCTTTTATTCTTTGCTGTTTGAAAAGAGAAGTGTTTTGAACTTCCTTTTCAGCCATTTCGTCAACACCAACACTTTGGAACCTAATGCTGTGTAAGCCTTTACAATATGTGGATTGGCCTTTTGTGACCCAAAGTGGTTGGTTGCCACATTGTACCTTGCAGTGGTTCTCATGCTAAAATATTACAAGTTTTGTTTTTTTTTTTAACCAACCTGATGTGTGTTTGATAACGAATTTACAAAAACTGAAGCTTTTCCCTATAAATCCTACGTTTTTGCCTTTAAAGAGTGGGTTGCAACCATCACTAGATCACAGTAGTGCCTACTGACGGTTGAGAACCAGAGGGAGAGACTTTTGTGTTGTAAATAAGGATGCAGGCTAACAACTTCCATCACTTCCTTTGTGCGCTTCCTGCCTTAAGTGACAAGTAGCATCGTGGCTTCAGTAGTGTGAACTGCCACAAGTCAGTCTGCACCCTGGGTGCCCAGGAGCTAGTATCCTTAGAGCTTTCTATCGCTTACCTGATTTCTTGTCTTCACCTGTCTGACCCTCCTCCCCCATGTCTAACTTAAATTTTAAAAATTAAAAAAAACAAAAAAAAAAAAACAAAAAACAACAAAAAAAAGCTTTCTTTACAGTCAACTTAAGCTTAACATGGACTCAGGTTCCCCAGCAGCCTTAATTTGTTTCCTTACCATCTGTTCCTCCCTCTTGCAGCCCTTCTAAGTATTTCCGAGCTATCTATCCACTAGTGTCCACGTTTGTCGGATCACCTCAGTTTTCCATTTAATCACAAATTGACCTCATAGCTTGAGGTTTCCTGTGTCCTGTTCTGTGGACCACCTGTACTCCTTTTGCTTCCCCTCCCCTTGCATAATGACTATTAAATTTTTTGGCTTTGAGTTGGCTGGAAAAAAAAAATTAAAAAAAAAAACCTTAGAAGTGGATCTGTAGATTAAGTGAGCAAAAGACAACAGCAGATAATTTGAGCAAGCAAAATTAACCTATGTGCTGGGGGAACGTGTCTAAATCTTCCTCTCCTAGATCCGCGTGGTTAGGGCTTGGGGAACGTGTGTCAGAGCTGCAGGGAATGCCAAAGTTGAGGAAGGCTGTAGGGTTGAGAGCACGAAGCAGGAATGAGGAAGCCAAAGAAGGAAGTCCTAATACATCGCCAGATCTAGGAGGGTGGGGAAGCAGACAGAAGGAAAAATGGGAAGCAGGGCTGGGAAGCCCAGGTTGGTGGGAATGAATTGAGCCGGATGTCCTGGGCAGTGAAGAAGGGGCCTTTTTGGTATAGGTGAGGGCCAGCTGCATCGAAGGACCTGAGGTTGGAATGGACAGCCAAGAAAACAGGAGAATCGAGGCCCCACAGCACAGGAGGGGGACCCTTTAGATGGGAACCAGCGTTATGTTATCAGGGTGAACTTGGGTTGATCGCTGTTGGCAGTATTAATTGGTAGAACCTTTTCAGAAAACAACTTGCCAAATGACAGGGTGTCCATTCCAATCTCATGTTAGTGAAAAATTAGGAATGACATAAATGCCAAAACAATAGGACGATTACGTGAAGGTATTCATGGACTGTATGCAGCTGCTTGAAAATGATAATCGAGAGTTATGTAGCAACGTGGAAATATATTTACGGAATATTAAGTGGAAAAAGCAGGACACAGAATTATATTTATACTACAATTATAACTGATTAAAAATGTATGCTTATAGTCAAAAGCTGTTGTGTTGTTGTTGTTGTAGGCTAATAGTTCAGCATTATTTTCTTAAATTCTTTGAATGTTCTTTATAGTAGTGTTACTAAAAAGTTTATAATCACGTTTCCATTGTGAACATAATTTGAACACATCATCAGACACTTGGAAAATACAAAAAAAGTGGAGGAAAAAAAAATCCATATTCCAACCTTCCAAAGACAGATACACACTCTTCAACATCTTGTTTATTCTTGTTTCTGTGCACAGGTTTATGATTATAACTGTGTCAAAACGTGTATTCAGAATAGCCGTTATGTTACCTTTGTGGAATTATGGTTAAACACTTTCATCTTAATGTTTTCAAATGTTCCTTATGATAGTGTTCTTATAACAAAGTTTATTATGTTTGTTTCCATTACAAGCATAATACATACCCAGAGGAAAATTTGGAAAATATAGTAAATTAGAAAAGAGGAAAAAGTCACCCATATTCCCAACACCCAACAACTACTGTTAACATCTTGATCTATTTCCTCCATCTTGTTTTAGTGCACAAGCTTGTGATTATAACAGTGTTAAATATGTATGCATAAAGTCTAAAATGAAAAAAATACTGAAAATAATTAAAATAGTGTTGTCATTGTGGGATTATGGTTAAATATTTTGTCTCAAATTCCTTGAATGACCTTTGGTGTTTTGGTATTAAATCTTGTGTATGTATTTCTCCATTACAAATATAATACATACTCATAGCAAACTTTGGAAAATTCAGTAAAACTAGAAGAAAAGTAATTCACCCATATTCCCAACACCCAGCAACAGTTGCTGTTAACATCTCGGTCTGTGCACCAGTCTATGATAATTAGGGTGTTAATGATAGGTATACATAGAGTCAAAGATGGGAAGAAATATGGAAAACAATTAAATAGTTGTGTGGTCGTTGTGGGATTATGGTGAAATATTTTGTCTTGGTTTCCTCGAATGGTCTCTATCATAGTGTTTTGGTAATCCACCTTTATTACATATATACCATTATAAACACTGTATGTGTTCATTATAGAAACTTTGAAGTTACAGAAATGTAGAAGAGAAACTCACCCATATTTTCACCATCCAAAGACTGTGGTTAACATCTTGATATATTTTCTTCATCTTGTTTCTGTGCACAGGTTTTTGGTTTGTTAATATGGTTGTGGTTGTTCTATCTATCTGTAATAGTGTCAACAATAAAAATAAAGTTAAAAATAAGATATTGGTCAGTCTCCTCTTTTGTCCATTTTACAAGTTTGGGGTTGGTAAATATAGTCTTTTGTTATGACCAGAAATCCAAAAGCTCAGTGCCTCCTTAGGCCCTTAAGTTTGGCTTACAAATCTTACTCCATTTTTAAGTATTGTATATCTCAACAATTCCTTTTAAGAGTGCATGATTATGCATTAAATTTTTTTTTTCTATGTTTTTATTTTATTTTTGAGAGCGAGAGAGAGAGAGCAGGGGAGGAGCAGAGAGAGATGGAGACAGAATCTCAAGCAGGCTCCAGGCTCAGTTGTCAGCGCAGAGCCTGATGTGGGGCTTGAACTCACAGACCACAAGATCATGACCTGAGCTGAAGTCGGACGCCCAACTGACTGAGCCACCCAGGCATCCCTTTGAGTCCACGTTTTTAACTGCACTTATATATATTCCAGTAGCGTTTTTTTAACTTGATAACCACAACTATATTTCAGTTACTTGAGTTAGCATTTTTAATTTTTAATCTCAAATAGGAGATTCTCTCAAACAAAAAAACCCCACAAACAAGAGTGAGCCCTTAACATAAAAAGGTTAATATCATGGTTTAGAATCTCTTTAAAGTGTCTATTTCCAACTCTTCCTTGAGGTTAAAAGTTTTCAGGGGAGTCACTTCCCTTATTTTAACCTGACTTTACCACCCAAAACATCTCACGCATTTGGTAGGGTGTCATTCCCCGGTGAACTGGGAGTTTTTTGTTTTTTTGTTTTTGGGTTTTTTTAATATAATTTATTGTCAGATTGGTTTCCGTACAACACCCAGTGCTCATCCCAACAAGTGCCCTCCTCCCTGCTCATCACCCACTTTCCCCTCTCCCCCAACTCCCATCAGCCCTCAGTTCTCAGTCCTTAGAAGTCTCTTATGGTTTGCCTCTCTCCTTCTCTGTAACTTTTTTTTTCCCCTTTCCCTCCCCCATGGTCTTCTGTTAAGTTTCTCAAGATCCACCTATGAGTGAAAACATATGGTATCGGTCTTTCTCTGCCTGACTTATTTCACTTAGCATAATACCCTCCGGTTCCATCCACGTTGCTGCAAATGGCCAGATTTCATTTTTTCTCATTGCCAGGTAGTATTCCATTATATATACAAACCACATCTTTATCCATTCATCAGTTGGTAGACATTTAGGCTCTTTCCATAGTTTGGCTGTTGTTGAAAGTGCTGCTGTAAACATTGGGGTACAAGTTCCCCTGTGCATCAGCACTCCTGTATCCCTTGGGTAAATTCCTAGCAGTGCTATTGCTGGGTCATAGGGTAGATCTATTTTTAACTTTTTGAGGAACCTTGTAATTCCACCATAACCAGAGATTTTTGGCCAGGTTGCTGAGTATAT